CCCACCTGTACACTTCTGGCTTGGAAAAGTAAAAGAAAAATTCTTTCACTGTTTTACAATCCCTCCCCCAGGTCCACTCCAGTATGCAGCCTTCGCTCTGGACTCCTGTCATGACAAAATACCTAATCACATATCCCTTTTAGACAGTTTTCTCCCTTGTCAGTTTCAATACAGTATAATTAAACCCATCTTTCTCAGTCTTCCCCCAACCCCGAGGTCAGTCCTGTTCTACAACAGTGGCACCATGAAGTATTTGTCCTTTTGTGCTGAGATACTTCACTCAGCATAATGTCCTCCAGGGTCACCTATTTTGAATAATATTGCATGAGTTCCTTGTTTTTCAATGCAGTGTAGTATTCCATTGTGTGAATGTACCACAGCTTCTCAATCCATTCCTTTGTGATGGTGCCTACCATATTCTAAGTTACAATGTTGTTCCAAGTGTCTTTCCTGTTCTTTCTTGCAATTCAAGTGTTCTCCTTGACCTTAATATATATTCAAGCTGAACAACCCAAAAGGTACTGCCATCGAGTTGACTAAGACTCGTAGTGACCCTACAGGACAGAGTAGAACTGCTTTATACAATATTCAAGGCTGTAAACCTTTAATGAAAGAAGGCTGCCCAACTTTTTCCCATAGTTCAAACCACTGAATTACTGGACCATTCTGCCACTAATGTGGATTATATTTCAATATCAAGAAAGCAAAAATACTCACCACTGGGCCAAGAGGCAACATTATAAGAGATTGGGGAAAGATTGAAGTTAAATCTTAATTGAAATTCATCTTAATTGAATCCACAATGAACACCCTTGGTACCAGCAGTGCAGAAAACAAAAGGCATGTTGCATCGGGAAAGCTGCTGTCAAGGACCCCTTCCGAATGCTAAAGAGCAACAATGTTAGTTTAATGACTAAAGTGGAAAAAAAAAAAAAGACTAAGGTGCACCTGATCAAAGTCATGGTCTGTTCAGTTACTTGCTATGCATCTGAAAGTTGGACAATGACTAAGGATAAGGATAGCAGAAGAATTGATGCCTTTGAGTTGCAGTGCTGGAGAAGAACACGGAATATCCCACAGAATCCCAAAAGAACAAATAATTATGTCTTGGAGAAAGTGCAAAGAAGGTACTCCATGGAGGCAAGGATGGTGAAGCTTCATATCACACACTACGGACATGTTGTCAGGAGGATCTCAGTCCTTGGAACAACATCATGCTGCATAAGGTGGTGCGTTAGAGAAAAAGAAGAAGACCTTCAAGAGATGGATTGACATAGTGATGGTAACAATGGGCCTCAGCTGATCAGATGTGCTGGGATGGCACGAGATAGGACAAGGTGCAGATGTGTTGTTCATAGAACCGCTATGAGTTGTAGTTGACTCAATGGCACCAAACAACAATTGCCACCAGGGCTACTTTCAGAGCCTCAAGGGGTATAAAAATAGAAAATAGTATTTTAACCTGTGTAAATATTCAGTTATTTATAAAAGTTGTAGATTTTGTTTTCCAAGACAGCTAGAAATTGTTTAGGTAGGAATTAGCATGTCTCTTCTGTTTACGAATACTTGCTTTAGTAAGAACAAACATGGAGGAACCCAAAATCAATCCCATTGAGGCAATTTTGACTTCACAAGGCTGAGCAGAATAGCCCCACACAGCCTCCAAGGCTCTATGTAATCTTTCTGGAAGCAGACTGTCATTACATCTTTCCATAGAGTACACAGAGGAAGGTCATTCAAATCAAGCACCTTTTATTAGTAATAATTCCTGAGTTATTACTAATTTAATATTCATTTCCCTTCAAACTCTACAGAAACCCAAAGTTCGTACTGTACTGGTAAAAAACAAAAATGAAGCTCTACAAGGTTGGGTGAAATACCCAAGGTGACACACCTGTGAAAATGGAGGCAGTCGTTAAGAACTCCGGAGAACAGCAAACTCCAGTCTAGAGAAGCACGCTGTTGTTGTTGTTAAGTGCCATCAAGTCACCTGCAACTCACAGCGACCCTTATGTACAACAGCTCTGAAACCTGCTCTTTCCAGAGCCATCTTATTGTCTCTTACATACCTACCCCCATTACCCCAGTCACTGAGTCAAACCATCTCATCGAGGGTCTTCCCCTGCTGCGCTGTTCCACCATACTCCAAAGCATAATGTCCCTCTCCAAGGACTGGTCAGTGGCTTCCAGAAAAACAAACGAGTCTGTCTTGGAGAGAGTGCAACCAGGGTGCTCCTTAGAGGCAAAGATGATGAAACTTCACATATTTGAACATGTTTTCAGGAAGGGTCAGCCCTTGGAAAAAGACATCATGCTTGGAAAGGTAGAGAAGGTACGAGTAAGAGTGGGCAGCCTTCGACAAGATGGACTGACATAGTGACTGGAACAGTGGCTCCAGGACATCAGAAGTGATGAGGATGGTGCTGGATAGAGCAAGGTTCAGATCTGTAGTGGAAAGAGTTTCTATGAGCCGTAAATGACCTGATGACACTTAACCTTACCATGCTAGCATTTCTGGTGGTTTGTTGGTTTTTTTTTTTAATATTATTTTTATTTTCTTACTTCTTTTAGAGTCGATATATAACACTCTTGGTACCAGTAGCCAGGAAATCAAAAAGCATATTGCGATGGGAAAGTCTGCTGTTAGAGACCCATCCAGGGTACTGAAGAGCAGTGGTGTCACTCTGGAGACTAAGGTGCGTCTGATACAGGCTATGGTCTTTGCAATCACTTGTTATGCATCAG